GTTTTTTTTTAGAGTGGCAATTCCCAGGGCCTCATGCATGCCAGGCATGTGCTCTACTATGGAGCCTCATTCCCAGCCTCATTTAATAGTTTTAACAGTTTTTTTGAGACTTCCATGAGACTTTGGACATAGATGATCCATGCCATATAAGAACAGAGGAGGGGACTGGGATTGTGGCTCAGCGATAGAGCGCTCGCCTAGCACATGCGGGTTCGATCCTCAGCACAACATAAAAATAAAGATATTGTGTCCAACTAAAAAATGAATATTAAAAAAAAATACAGAGGAGGCAGGGTGCTGCCTGTGATCCCAGCACCTCTTGAAGCTGAGGCAGGAGGATCACGATTTCAAAGCCAACCTCAGCAACAACGGGGAAGCACTAAGCAACTCAGTGAGACCTGTCTCTAAATAAAATACAAAATAGGGGATGGGGATGTGGCTCATCAATCAGGCACTGGCGGAAACACCTGTCAATCATCAGGATCTCCTGACTAACACCTCTCAATCAGCAGAACCCCTGGCCAATCCTGGAGTTCAGCCAGTTCCCCTGACCAACTCCAGCGGGACAAGGGACCCTAAAAATCCCCTTTCTTGTCCCAAGCCCTTTCCTTCCTGCCATGAACCCCATAAAATCCCAGTCTGGTCAAGCTCCCAGGTGGTTTCTCCTCAGACCCTTCTCCAGTCCACTCTGTCCATCTGATCCAGTTCCGCCAGGGAGTGATATCTCAAATAAAGCCTCCTTTGGCGGACTTTTTAAATCTGCCTCCTTTGGTCCCTGCCTGCCTCACCTGATCTTACAGAAGGAAGGAAAACAGAGGTAGCTTTACTTCTTCTCTCTGGGTGTCTTTTATTTCATCCTTGTCTAGTTGCTCTGGCTTAACTCTCTGTACAATATTTTACAGAAGTGGCCTTCTTTTTCCAGGAGCTTAGGGTAGGAGACTAGTTGCTGATTTGAGAATGTACTTCTTAGTACAGGTGTTTGCAGCCATACATTTTACTCTAAGCACTTACTTCCCTAAGTTTTGATATGTTTTGTCTTCATTTTCATCCATCTCAAAGTTATTTTCTGATCTTTTTTTGACTTCTTATACTCTGAAAACATAAAACCATAAATCATTGTTGAAAGAAATAAAATTCTAAATAAATGAAAGAACATGCCGTGTTCATGGTTGGAAGACTCAATATTGTTCAAATGGCAATATTCTTCAAACTGACTAGTAGATTCAAATCAATCCCTTTCAGAATACCATCAGACTTCTTTGTAGAAACTGCCAAGTAGATCCTAAAATTCAGTGAACTTGCAAGAAACCCAGAATAGCCAGTAAAATCCTGAAAAATAACAAAGGAAGAAGACTCACACTTCTTGACTCAAGACACACCACATAGCAACAAGAAACAAGATAGTATGCTGGGCACAGTGGCACATGCCCACAATCGAAGGGACTCAGGAGGCTAAGGTAAAAGGACTGCAAATTTGAGGCCAGCCTCTGCAATTTAGCAAAACCTTGTCTCAAAATAAAATAAAAAGGGCTGGGTGAAAATAGTATGAAGGAGGGTTTAACTTTGGGTGCAGGATGGGAGAGAGCAGCCCAGGGTGTCTGAGGGCCTCAGACTTTCCTGCAATATGTGCAGGACAAGCACCTGCCTTCAGCTAGAAGGGAAATAGAAGATGAGGCTGAGTATCTGCTAGGTCAAGGGAAGGGTAGGCAATCAGGAGAGAACTTCTCATACTTGCTTGCTCTCCAGAACAGGGCCAGAAGCTGAGAAACACCCTTAGAAATTAAGTACTGCCCCTTAACTCTGGTTATTTGACCTAACTGAACTATAGTTTGGTTGGTTGGTTTCCATTTGTTAAATTTTTTTTTAATAGAAATAGATGAACACAATGCGTTTATTTTTATTTGTTTTATGAAGATTGGACCCAGTGCCCCACACATATGAGGCAAGCACTCCACCACTGAGCTACAGCCCCAACCCTCCATTTGTTAAACTTTTGAAATTTGTACACAGAGCACACCTTTGTGGTTGGCTGAAAAGCACACCAATTGTGGGATCTCCCCTACCCCTTCTGTAACCTTCCCCCCACAAGCAGTCTACTCTGGGGCCAGTGCTCACTGGAGTCTGAGCTAGGGAGGGGAAGGGTAATCTGGTTTGCCTGGAAATACGATATATCCATGTTAACCAACAACTGGATCTTCCTGCTTCATAGGCCATCCTTCAGAAGACCCCCAGACTTGTCTAAAAGGTGCATCAATATTCAGAACATATCTATGAATTATTCACTCAACCCTCTAGGAGCTCCCAGGTTTTTGCAAATGCAAACAGTTCTGCAGCAAACACTTTTGTGCATCTGTCCCCAGGTCCTATTTTTCTATTTCATGTTAATGTTGCCACATTATCTTTTAAAGGTTGGTTCACATTCCTGCCCACAAAGGGTGAGGTGCTCATTCCCTGGTAGGGCAATAAGTGCTCCCCCCGACCTTTTGTTTTTCCTAACCAGGTGACTTGTTTTAATTTATGGTTCCTTAACTGCTAGTGCAGTGAAGCCTTGCTTCCTGTGGCAGAACTCCTTCCATTGTTCAGCTATCACTTAGCCCTGGAGAGGAGTTCTGCAACCTCATTCCCACCCATCTGGGGACCTGAGGCACTGGAAACAGAAGCACACTCGGGACACAGAAGCACACTCGGGAAGGTTGTTCGAGTGGGGAGGACTGAGGGGGACTCTGAGCCCAGCCTGGGGCAGCAAATGGGGCATCCTCTGCTGACCATAATTGCTGTCCAGGCACAATTCTGGGTCGCTTCAGTGGCTACAGTGTGGTGCACTAAAATCACAGCTCAGCAAAATTCAGAATCTGACCTCTATCCCTTTAAACTGACAACTGCCTGGGAGCCTCCAGCAGTCAGGGGGTAAAGAGGGCCCAGCCCACATTCCAGGGGGGAAAAAATATAGGATCTCAGGGTCTCCTTCCTTCTAGCCAACACTCTCCATCTGCCCTTCTCTGGCCTTCAGTGGCCTTGGACTTGCAAGGTCAACTCTCTTTCCCCAATACCAGTACAAAGTTCCAAAGATTCAAATATGTATAGGGCCTCCTCACCATGGTTCCAGGCACATGGTTCCCCTCCCCCAGGATCAACCAGTGTAATCCGCTGCTGATCTTTCCTTCCGGAGACAGCTATGCCTTTCACACCGAGAATGAGATGTATTCCCCCCCCCCCCCCCCCCCCCCCCCGGTTTTCTTCAAAAAATGGTAGCTTTCTGGACACCCTGTTCTGCCCATTTTTTTTTTTGTTTGTTTGTTTAGTTTTTCTTTTTCTGCCCTTTTCCAGCTAATGGTGCTGTACTTGGTAGCACATTCCCAAACAACAAAGCAAGTACTTCACAGTATTTGCTTCATGATATGGATACTTCATGGTTCCAATTCCATATATTACCACTGATCATCCTCTAGGTGTATCTATACAGAATAGTGGTGGACAAAAACAGCCTCCCACTTCTGTGGACAGCAACAGGTAGACTTCAGAGGTGAATTACCAATCCAGGCTACCTGCTCCTGATATTTTTGGAAAGCCCCGTGGGTCCCGGAGGCAACCTAATCTCCCAGCCTTACACAATCCACCTTTCCTGTGTGATCAAACTTGTGAGTCTGTGATTTGTTCCGTAGGAATAGTCATCTGAGTATCTGTGTCCGTTTCTAGCAAGGGAGGGGGCACCATTCCTGTTGGTTTGCCTGACCTTGTGTAGCATTTTGACCATTTTCAAAGAGCTTTGGTGTTAATGGTCTGCAGGAGATCTTCACTTATTATTCCTAGGATCACCTCTGCGAGCTTATTTAATTGGAGCACCTCCCACAAACACACACAGCACGCTTGCGCACGCGCGCACACACACACACACACACACACACACACACTTTGCTCCTGCAGTTTTGCACTGCAGAAAGCTTTTCACCTCTTTGGTTTCCCCAGTCTTGCCTCTCTCACCTTCTGGGTTTTCCCCTAGGGCTTTTGTATACTAATCCTTAATCTGCATGGAATCTGCCAGCAGGTGAGGAGCTAGTCCCACCCACCTATGTGCATCTCCACCTTTATCCAGTTAATAAATTCCCAAAAGTGCAAGAAGCGACTTCATCTTTCCATGAATGGGTTTTACCCATCCTGATAGCGGTTTCGTGGTATGATGGGCCTGAGGCCACGCCAGAGGACTCAGCTATGAAAGGCGCACCAATCCTCACGCGCCCAGGGCTCCGGGGCCCAGAAGCCCCTGCCACCTTGTACCTCCTGCGCGTTCGAGACGTGCTCAGCGTGCCCCTTAGTTCCGAGTGACCCTCTGCCCCGCATCCCCCTGTGCGTCCCGCGTGACCCCTCTGTTCCCCGTCCGTCTGCGTTCCACTTGACCCTCCGGCCCTCATGCGTCCACTCTGTCCCTTTCCCCCACGCGTCCTACGTGTCCCTCCACCCAGGGCCACAGGTCTCCCCTGACGCTGCATGCGGGGTCGCGGCCCCACGCTGTCGTCTCCGGCGTCCCCCGCGCCCTTCCCGGTCCGCGCCGCCCCTCCTGCCCTCCCCACTCCAAGCCTCGGCCCGGGCTCCCGGCGGGGCGGGGCCTCGCAGGCGGAAGTGCCCCGGGCGCCGGCGACCCAACCCGCGGGGCAATGGGAGCCCGGACTCCGGACTGCAGCGGCGGCCGCAGAGGCGGCGGCGGCTGCCCGAGCGGCGGCGGGGGCGGGCGGCGCGGTACGCGGGCCGGGTAGCGCCGGCCAAGCGCGGAGTTATGGGCCGGGCCGGGACCGGGGGCGCGGCGCGGGCGGCGGCGGTGGCTGGGCCGCCGCTGCTGCTGCTGCTAATGCTGCTGCTGCTAACTCGGTCCCCGCCGGCCACCGCCGGCGACCACAGGAAGAGCGGTGAGCGAGCGCAGGACAGCGGAGCCATCAGGGGTCGCGGCGGGTGGGGGGAGGGCCTGGGGGCGGGACCCGATTGTGACTCACGGGGGGCACCTGTGCGCTCACCTGGCGCCAGCGCTAGGCCTACGTCCCCACCTGGTGGCGCTCTTCCTGGTGCTCTCGGGCGGAGAAGATGCCTGTGCTCCTTCTTCCGTTCCCCGGGCGGGGCTCGGCCAGGCCGGCCCTTCGGAATGTGCGCTTCGCTCCCTCCTGCTCCCAGAGCGTTCGGGTAGCACACCTGAGCGCGGAGGTGGAGGGGCTCAGGGGCCCGGGTCGGAAACCCGCTGGGAGGAATGGTGGGGTTGGGGTTCTAAGGGCCCCATCTCCTCTCGCAGGGCAGACCCCGGAGTAGGGGTCCCATATGCACCCCTTTCGTGGTGCCTCCCCACCCCCAGTGCAAACACTTTGAACTTGCTCGCCTTGCTTCCTGGAGGCTGTACTCAGTTGATCTGAGGCAGCCACCTGCAAGGGCGGATCTGGAGGAAGGGCACCTCCTCTTAGGGAGGAACCTGCTTGCTTCCCTGAGGTTTCCCATCCTTGACTGAGGTCCAGTGAGGTGATTAGACCAGGGTGTGCCACCCCTCTGGGTTCTTGACAGCCAGGCTGTCTACACCTCAGTCCCTACACACCCTTACCTCTAGACTGTAATTCGGGCTTCTGGGGTTCATCTAGTGCTCCAGGGGCTGGCTCCTCCACTTCCCTGTGCTCAGCCTCTCCCTCTTTCTCTGAAATACTGCTCCTCTAAGCTTCTGTTTCTTGAGGGCCATGCCTTCTGGTTTTTGAGGTTGGTGCAGCTTAACAGACAGTTTTTCCTGAGGACAATGCTCCTGATTAAATGCTACCCTGGATTTGATTACTCCACTTTCTCCTCTTTTTCCATCCCCTGGATGAGACCCTGGTGAGGGTGTCACTGGCAGGTGGTGCAGGGAGCACCTAGGCTGGGCAGGATAGGGTAGAGGCCTGGTGACCTGGATTAGACCCTACCTCCTCCCAGGTCACCTGAAAGGCAGGCTGCTAGTGACTTCTGGGCTCTGAGCACAGCCAGGTCTCTAGCTGGTTTGGAAGAAGTGGGACAAGGGTCTCAGGGCTGGCTCAGGGACTTCCTTTCCCCTTTCCCCACCCAACCCTTTATCTATGGAGTGTGTGGGACAGGGAAGGGTGCCTATGACTGGTGCTCCTCACCCTTCCTGATATCACATGGGGCTCGGCTTATCTTGCTGACTACCATATATGTCACCAAGATACCAGAGTGGGCATCTGGGCAGGGAAATTGGGTTGCAGAGCCTCCAGGAGCTTTGGAGGGGCTGTGTAGCCCTGGGGACATGGGATCAAGTCTTAGGGCAACCTGGAACTAGTCTCTTATCTCTTGTTTATCTGTTGAAATATCACAGCTACCACCTAGGTACTGTCATTGTAGGGGGCCAGTAAGGGTTTTTCCCATGGACGGTCAGGGAGCTGCACCTGCAGGGTGTTCTCCCTTCCTGGCCCCTCAAAGATGGAATGCCTGAGTGGATGACCATTTCTTCAAGATTCCACAAACCTGAGGACAGGGGTATGCCCTGCCTCAGTTCTCAGAACTTTAGTTTCTATTTACATTGTCATATCACCTGAGGGCCTACAGCAGCTCCTAGCTCTGTAACCACAGCTTGGAAAGTGGGACCTGGTGACTAGTAGACACCTGAAAAGCCTGTGATGAGTTGTGGGCAGAGCCTACTCCTACCCAGCCCCCATGCCAGGCTCCTCTGGTGCTCCTGTGACTTTGCCAGCAGGCTGCTGTCGTTTCTGCAGGTGCCTCTATGGAGAAGTCACGAGGCTGGCAGGGGAACCAGCTGCTCACCTGGCTCCCTCCCCATCCCTGGGGGAGGCCTGTGCCAGCCATTCTCTCAGTGAGGCAGAGGGAGGCTTCCTGAGTAGGAGTGCTCAGCCCAGAGAGTGAGACCAGATGCTGCTGTTTCTTCCTGAAGCACTTCACCGCTTATTAACCTTGGCAGAAGGAACACTGTCCATTCCACCTATGACGACCCTGGAGGGGAAGGGGCCCTAGTGAGGGGAAGGGGCACCCGTGGCCACGCAGGGCTCCAGAAGTGGATGACCAAGTCCATGGGCCCTTGCTTTCAGTCTTCATAGCCACCTTTGGATGTGTGCCCCAAGGGCAGTTAAAGTTCTCACCTACTTGGAGCCCAGAGGCCAGCTGTCCCTTGATCCCCATGCCTGGCCAGGCTTCTGACCTGGGGTTCCCCCATCAGGGGCTTTTTGTGGGTTGGAGTCTCTGCAGGCTAGAGAGGCAGGCAGCCACTGGAGTTGAGACTCTTCACCTGTGCATCTGTGCCATGGAGCAAGGAGTGTGTCCTCTGGTCAGTGCCCAGGGCAGTCATCAGGAGGGGTGGGGACTCCTGCCTGACCACCTCCTGTGTCCTTCAGCCTCCACCTCTGCCAGACTGTCATGCAGTTTGAGTGATGGGGCACACTGGCAAGCAAGAGAAGGATTAGGAAGCAGGGAACTGGGGGCCAGGGCTGGATATTGGGAGCTTCTGCAGGATGAGAAGTCCCTTTGGCCATCAGGGGAGGTAGGTGGAGGAATGGCTGCCTGAGGGAGAACTCCAGAAACCAGGGACAACCTCCAGGGGCCAGAGGGCAGTGAGGACCTTGGCTGAAGTTGAAGTTGGCAAGACTGGGGCTTTAGCACAGCTCCAGGACTTAGTTTCCAGAGTCCTTTCCTTTTGGGGGCCTCTGAGTGTAGCACCTAAGCCCTGCCTCATTTTTTTTTGCTGGAGGCAAGAGGGCCCTCGAACTGGCTGACTGTGCCTTTTCCTGCAGTGGTCGGGCTGGTGTCAGAGCACTTCTCCCAGGCCCCGCAGAAGCTGTCCTCCTACAGTTGGTACGGCAGCATCCGGCTCTTCCATTTCCGTGTGCCCCCAGACACCGTGCTGCTGCGCTGGCTGTTGCACGTGTCCTGGGACAGCAGCACGCCCTGCACCGATGTGGAGATCACCATGTAGGTGCCCAGCCTCCCACCTGCCCACAGCATCCGCATCTGACCAAGGTCCCTCACTTGACCCCTGACCCCTGCCCTATCCTCCTACCTCTAGGCACTTCCGCCATGGGGCCCCTCCCGTTATCAACCCGCTGGGCACCAGCTTCCCCAACAATACCATCCAGCAGCCCTCCTTCCAAGTCAGGGCACTGCTGACCTCCATGCTGCTGGACAACACCTCTGTGAACGTCTCCCACCCAGCCCCTGGGGACTGGTTTGTGGCCGCCCATCTGCCCCCCTCCTCCCAGAAGATCGAGGTACAGGTGAGGGGACTCACCTGTAGGGGTGGGGAGCCCCTGAGTGTTTGGATGGTCTTTCATCCCCCTCTTTGGAGCAGCCCTTGCTCTGGGTTCAGCCCTGTGCCCCAAGGCCTGCTGCTCGCCATATACCCTGCATTATCTGACACCCTAAGCTGCTTCTCTCCCTAGGGCTTTGCTCCCACCTGTGCCTACGTCTTTCAGCCTGACATGCTGGTCATGCGGGCTATGGAGGTCTCCATCCTGGAGCCTGATGTGCCCCTTCCGCAGACTCTCCTCTCCCACCCCAACTACCTCAAGTGAGTGGGGCCTGGGGTGGTCTGCAGGGCCCAGCCTTTGGGTCCTGGGCCTTGGGGTCCTGCTGGGAAGTAGGCTGGATCCCCCAGCTGAGTGGGTTGGAGGAAGCGCAGAGCCTGAGGGAGGACACCACCTTGTGCAGGATCTTCGTCCCTGAGTATACCCAGGAGCTTCTGCTGGAGCTGCAGGGCTGTGTGTCCAGTGGGAGCCCGGGCTGCCCTGTGCGTCTCACGGTGGGCGGGGCCACCCTTCCCAGCAACTTCCAGAAGGTGCTGACCTGCACAGACCCCACACTGTCCTGTCGTCTGTTGCTGCCGTCACCACCCTGGGGCCGGTGGCTACAAGTAACAGCTGAGAGCCTGGCGGGGCCCCAGGTGTCAGTGGCCTTCATAGCCCAAGCTGCCCTCACAGGTGGGCTGCCAGGGAGGGCTGGGTGGGATTGTCTCTTCCCCATCCTTACCCCCAGGCTTTCCTCCAGCTGAGCCTGGTACTCTTGGCAGCCTGCAGGCCATGGAGCATGACCTTCCAGCGCCTTCTGCGAAACAGCCCAAACCAGAGCCATGATACCTCCGTGGGCCAGCTGTCCCCAGGCCCTGCCCATCAGGGCCTAGGCAGGAGCAGTGGGGTGGGCGGTGGCACCTTCTGCCTCCTGAGCTTCCCCGTCATGAGGGAGGACATAGACACAGTGTCTGTGCGCTTTCAGCCCATGGATGGGATCTCGGTGCTGGTGCGTTCTGACGCTCCCTCCCTCTTGCGGCTCCACCTCGACACCGGCATGGACAGTGGGGGTTCCCTCACCATCACCCTGAGGGTCAACAAGGTACTGTCCTGATAGCCTGCTGTGCCTGTCTGCAAGTGGCTAATACCCAGACTTGGCTCAGGGTACTGGATAACCTACCTAGGCCTTTGTGCACTGACTTTGGCACCCTCTTGGGTGACAGTGACACCAACAGGCATGAGGCAGCCTGGCCCTGTCAGCAGATCCCAGAGATGAGCTTGAGGAAGGGGCTATGGAGTCACTAGGATCAGAGACAGCTGGAGGCAGGTCCAGGAGGGAAGGCTTGGGGTAAGCCCTGATCCAGCAGGAGCCTCAAGAAAGGCACTCAAGCACTTGCCAGGCTCCCTCGAGGCTCTGGGTTCCATCCCCTGAATGGAAAGAGAGACTGTGCTAGGAGTGGACACCATGCCACATCTCCAGGGGACTAACCCTGTGCTTCTTCCCCTTCCAGACTGAGGTCTCAGGGGACACCTTGGTGGTGGCCTGTGTGAATGCTGCCTCAGCCTTCCTCAGCTTCAACACTTCACTCAACTGCACCACAGGTACAGTGGGCAGGCAGCACCTGGCAGAGTGACTGGCAGGGTGACTGGCCGACCCCTCCATCCCCTCTGATGGGCCTTCCCACTCCATGCAGCCTTCTTCCAGGGTTACCCCTTATCTCTGCGTGCCTCCTCTCCTGTGGCCAACCTCATCATCCCCTACCCAGAGACAAGCAGCTGGTACCTCTCCCTGCAGCTCCTGTGCCCTGAGAGTCCTGGGTATGTAAACTGAGCTGAGACCAGTGGCTGTCACAGGATGGGGAGTGTGGGAGAAACCTGGCTCCCCACAGAAGTTAGGAATTACTGTCTCCATGTGTCAGGGTGGATCCCCTTTTCTGCCTGGCCATCCCTTCCATGGCAGCCCTGGCAGGGAGAAGGAGCATCAGTCCAGGCTGTTGGAACCTGGAGCTCAATTCTGGGTTCATTTGTCCATGAGCCTGTTGGGAGCAGTGGTGCTAAGTTGGCTGTAAAGGGCTGCGGTCAACCTCTTCATGTCCCCTCCTTTCAGGGTCTGTGAACAGACCATGGTCCATGTAGAGACCGTACTGTACCTGGTGCCATGTTTGAATGACTGCGGACCTTATGGCCAGTGCCTCTTGCTGCGAAGATATAGCTACCTGTATGCAGGTTGCAGCTGCAAGGCAGGTAAGGGCTTGGGACCTCCACACCTAGGGACAATCTTTGCTGACACTGGTATCCCAGCCCTGTACATCCCCTGTGGAAGCCTCACCAGGACTGCAGAGAGGACCCATGCAGGCAAAGCAGGGCCAAATGGTTTCTCCCCATTCTCATGCCTGCTGTGATCCACCGCCTAGGCAAAAACAGTGAGGTGTCTCCAGGGGTAGTCCTATCTGCTGACCTTGGCTCCCCTACCCCTGGCCTACTTATACCTGCCCATGTCTATACGTACTTGCCCACACTTGTTTTCCCTGTCCATGTCTGTTTCTACCTGTCTATACCTGCCCCCACTTGTTCACACCTGCTCACACCTGTCCCCACCTGCCCATTCTTACCCACACCTGTGCAGTCTGCACCTGGGTGATGGTAGGGATCTGGAATTCAGAAGGCTTCCCACTTGGAGCCTTGGCCCCAGGTACCTGCCTCAGGCCCCTGAACACTGCATGGCCCCCAGGCTGGCGTGGGTGGAGCTGCACTGACAACAGCACGGCCCAGACGGTGGCCCAGCAGAAGGTGGCCGCACTGCTGCTCACCCTGAGCAACCTCATGTTCCTGGTCCCCATCATGTTGTCTGTGCAGCGTGCCTTCCTAGTGGAGGCCTCTGTCTACTTCTACACCATGTTCTTCTCCACGGTAGGCATGTCCCACCCCTCTGGGGACCCCTGGGGGGGATGTCTGGGCTGCTGCTTACTGCCCCATCTGGCAGTTCTACCACGCCTGTGACCAGCCAGGGGAGGCGGTGTTGTGCATCCTCAGCTATGACACACTGCAGTACTGCGACTTCCTGGGCTCTGGGGTGTCCACCTGGGTCACGATCCTCTGCATGGCCAGGCTGAAGACAGTCCTGAAACACGTGAGTGACCTGAGACTGGGCTGGGTTCTGGGGAAGCATAGGCCCTTATATGTAGCTTGCACAAGGCAGTAGGCAGTGGGTAGTCATGGCCCTGAGCCTTGATTTTCACATGACTGTCAGCTATCCTCAGAAGAAGCCGCAGCAGCTGTGGAGAAAGAATTCTGGCCGTCAGAGGACACCAGGAACAAGGTCTTGAGTGGGGTTATGCAAGGCCCTCAGCCCTTGTCTGGGCCCTGCTCACAGAGGAGCCCACCCCAGGTCAGGCCTCCCTAAGGAACCCCGCCATGCTCCTGGGTTCCCCGATGTGCAGGACACTTTGGAGGTTTTACACGGCAGCTGGACCTGGCCAGTGAGATGAGTCTCTGGTTCCCGTGAATTATATTTTCTGCCAGGTCTGCTCTAGGTACTGCCTCCAGGGGCACCAGGGAAACCCTATGGTCAAGGCACAGAGGTTGAGGGAAGAAAGCTCCAAAGTGTGGGAGTCCGGCTGGGCTGAGTGTTGGGCCATGAACCTGCAGGTTGTGAGCAGAGGCGTCTGACAGAGACTTGGGGGTGGGAGTCCCCCGTAGGAACTATCTGGGGGAGGACTGAGGCTGCCCTGAAACCTAGGGGTGAGTGTATGGGTGCAGAGCTGCCACATATGGCTGTCCAGATTGTTTCCTTCCTCAGAGAGGGGCATCACCACCTCATCCCTGGAGGGGCCTGCCAGGCAAAGTCAGTTCCCCTCCAGTGCCTAGCCAGTGTTCACCTGCGGCCATTCTACAGGACCTGGAGGAGGATACTTCCCTCTTCCTGGGCAGAGCAGAGCAAATTCTGCCAGCAGCTCCAAGTGGGGTGGGCAGAGGTGCAGGAGGGTAATGGGGTGCAACGGATGGCCCATGTACCTGTCTGCCTGTCATGCTGGGTGCCATCCCCCAGTCCAAGATGTCATGACTCTGCAGTCATTCCTGTGTCTTATCCAGGTCCTGTTTCTCCTGGGCACATTGGTCATCGCCATGTCCCTGCAGCTAGATCGCAGAGGCATTTGGAACATGATGGGGCCCTGCCTCTTTGCTTTTATGATCATGGCCTTCATGTGGGTAAGGATCCAGGGCAGGCTCTAGAAGCAGACAGCCTCACACTCAGTCCTGTTCCTACTATCCACTCTAGGACCCAAATGCCCCACCTCTGCTGAGGGCTTCTGGTGGCACCTATAGAAGCCCAGCCTGACTGTGTCTAAGACCTGGGTCTGAGGACCAGTGGCCATGTACCCTTGATCCTCTCAGCAACCCATTCTCATGGTTTTGCTGCCCAGATCTGGGCAGCCCCACGACCACTGGTGCTGGACTCTTGGGAGCAACCAGGCTATGCCAACACTTGTATGGCTGTTTACTCCAGGTACAGCGCTGCAGGCACCGGCACCAATGCTACCCGACGTCATGGCAGCGCTGGGCCTTCTGCCTCCTACCTGGTATCTCCATGGCCTCTATGGGCGTTGCCATCTATACCTCCATGATGACCAGTGACAACTATTACTACACTCACAGCATCTGGCACATACTGCTGGCTGGGAGCGCAGCTTTCCTGCTACCACCACGGGAGGAGCAGACTGAGCCCTGGGCCTGCTCACAGAAATTCCCCTGCCACTATCAGATCTGCAAGAACAATCAGGATGAGCTATACACAGTGACTTGACGTAGCCAGCTTGGGGACACCTGCTACTGTAACTTCTTCAGTCAGGAGCAGGACCAAGGGAGAGGAGCCCTGTCCAGCCCTGTCCAAATTAGTTCCTAACGAAATAAAATTGCCCTGAGACCTTAGCTCCCTCCTCTAGAAGGAGGGATCACCACTCCCCAACTCAACCAGCTCCCTTGCTTCTGCTGCTGAAGTCCACTGCAGGTCTCAGCAATTTCTACAGGCCCCTGGAAACCACAGGTACCCTGTGCTCTGCTGGCCTGAAATGGCCAGAGGTGTAGAGAAAACTCCCTGTTCCCCTATAAAGTTATGATGTGAGACCCACATGGCCAAAGAGACCCCAGTCCACTGAGGCTGGTAGCTGGGCATTCCTAGCATCCTTTACATTCTGCCCCTGAATGCCAGCTGCCTCAGGTATGGGGACACCCTCCCCCCCCAGTGGCAGCAGCTGCAGTGGGAGAAACCAAGATCACCAAAGAGCTGATTGACCCCCAAGGATACAGCAGAGCCCTGCCCTTCCCCTGCTCTCTGCCGTGGAGCCACCATCCTGAGGAGAGCCTCCTGGGGAGGAGGCTACTCAGCAGTTCTGAAGGCCCCAGGAGGCACACTGTTGCAAGGCACTTGTGTACTGCTCACTTCAAGGTCCCTTCCTTGTCTGGTGAGCATCCTTTTGGGCTGCCCCCTGCACAAGGCCCACTGAAGCTTGGGGAGGAGTCTCTGGAGACCCAGCCCAGCCTTCCTGCTCCTGAGAGCTCTGCCCCCAGACCTAAGTGTTGTTTCCCTTTGAGTGGGGAAAAGGCTCCTGGAAAGCTGGTGCTGACGAGGACCAGGAGGCGGCCCTTCCAGCTCTGGGGGCTTTCTCTCTGGGCCTGTCCAGGGCCAGGTCTTCTGGAGTTCCACCAGCCCCAGGCACCTTGCGCACAGCCACCAAAGCATTCTCAACCTCTAAGAGGGGAAACATGCATATATGGTGTTTCAGGGGGTAAAATATTCCAAGGCATAAAGACATATTTTTATGTGATTGGTGAATTTAATATTATACAGTGATTTTTTTCAAGCCAATTGAGTCACTACTTTTTTTCCCCCTGTTCTGCTTCCTTGGGCGGGAGGAGGCGAGGCCCAGGATAGCAAGGCCCGCCCTGCCCGTACCGGCCCTCGCGGGCCCTTTCTGGGCCACACTTTGTCGACGATGCCTTTCTTGATTCGCCGCCGTCTCTGCCCGGCTCTTTCCTTGGTCCCTTAGAAAGGAGGCGGGACGAGATTAGACAGACGGGCTTCGCGGCCATTCAGCGGCGAGCAGAGGTCGCGGCTGCCTGCCGCACTTCCGGCTCCGCTGGGAGCAAGTCGTGGGTCACCGGCGCACGGCGATGCCGCTGCACAGGTTCCCGGTCCGCCTCTGGAAGCAGCTACAGCTGAAGCAAGGCCTCTGCGCGCGCCTGCCCGCGCACTTTCTACGCTCTCTGGAGGACGCGCGGACGCCCGCCCCCGTGCACTACCGGCCCCACGGCGCCCGGTTCAGGGTCAACCCCGCGAACGGGCAGCGAGAGCGCGTGGAAGATGTACCCATCCCCATCTATTACCCGCCCGAGTCCCAGCAGGGGCTGTGGGGAGGCGAGGGCTGGGTCGTGGGCTACAGATACGTCAACGGCGACAAGGTGGGTGCGCCCGGATCCGGTGCTAGGTCAGAAACAAGGAAGGGGGTGAGGCCTGTGTGCTCAGGAGAGTGGGAGGAGGGGAGGTCAGGGGTCACCCGCCTGCTTTGCTCGGCGGTGGGATGCTAATTCTTGTGACACTTGAGGGCTGGCGTTGCTCCTTTGTGGGCAGAATTAGAAAGGCTGAGACCCAGAGTCGGGTTCTTTGCAAGGGATGCAGCCTGGCTCCTGAGTCTGCTTCTGTTGGGACTCTGCTGCTGGCTTCAGAGAACACATTTCCGGTGACACCTCCCCTGCTACTCTTTGTCTAGCTTTCTTGTGTAAAGCTGTGTGTTCCTCTGGAGCATACACACCAGCAATCTTGGGGTAAGGATGGGGGAAGCCAACCTCCAGTGAGCAGCCAGGTCTAGGCTGGGGCTCCTCTGTCCATTCCCAGTGGTTGGTGGAGTCTGTCTCCTGAAAGCATGAGGACTTGGGGAACACCACAGGCCCAGCCTACCAGGGAGAAGCAGCAGCACTCACAGATCTCTGTTGCACCTCAGCTCTCAAAGAGGGTGAAGAAGGTGTGGAAACCACAGCTGTTTCAACGTGAGCTCTACAGTGAGATCCTAGACAAAAAGTTCTCTGTGACTGTGACCATGCGGACTCTGGACCTCATCGATGAAGCCTATGGGTTTGACTTCTATATCCTCAAGGCAAGCATGGGCTAGTGACAGTGGGATCTGGTGGCCAGTCAGACCTCAGGGAGGCCAGAGCAGCACCACAGTGGAGGATGTGGTATCTTGGGTAGAGGGTCACTGGTAAAACAAGTGTGACTGGGCCCCTTGAAGCTTCCTGCCCACAGGAGGGTCACTCACTGAGTGAGTGTGGCCACCTCCTTCCTGCTCTTGGAATTGCTTCTGTCCTCATTCACCCAGGCCTGTGTGCTTGTGCTGTCCACCACGCTTGGCCTGCTCTGGCTAGAAGCCTGACAGGGCTGGCTAGCAGGGTGGATGGGGCCCTGCTGTCAGCACCTGGTCCCATGTGAGCCTCCCGCCAGACCCCGAAGGAGGACTTGTGCTCTAAGTTTGGGATGGACCTGAAGCGAGCAATGCTGCTGAGGCTTGCCCGACAGGACCCGGCACTGCACCCTGATGACCCTGAGCAGAGGGCAGCCATTTACCACAAGTACAAGGTAAAGGCTTCCCCATCCTATCCTTCCTGCTGCTTGTGGCCCCTAGCCAGCCCCACCTCACTGCCCTCCCTCTGCCTGCACAGGAGTTTGCCATCCCAGAGGAAGAGGCTGAGTGGGTGGGCCTGACGCTGGAGGAGGCTGTGGAGAAGCAGAGGCTCCTGGAGGAGAAGGTATTCGCGAGTGTGCCCCAGCCCTGCTGGCCTCTCTGGCGCCACAGGTGGAGGAGTGTGGGGGTGCCATCTCGGGGAAAGCCTGGAGGAGAACTCACTCCAGCTGTGCCTGGGAGAAGCATGGCAGGCATCTGCCCCTTGGGATCCTTCTCTCTCCTGCACCAGCCTCTCAGTGGGAGGAATAGGACTTGGCGCTGTGTGTTAGCTGGGCCACCCAACATCCCCCAGGCTCTTCCTGGGAGGGTCTTGTAGTTCCAGGATGGGGTCCTCCTGCAGCATATCAGCTGGTTGTCCCATTCCCTCTGCTCAGTTTATCTGAGACCACAAGGAAGCTAGGGGTGGGCATGGAACTCCTGCAACTCCCAGGGAGAGAAACCTTGTCTCTTGGGTGGGCTCTGCCCTCCAGGTTGGCAAGCAAGTTGGCATGACTCTGTGATGGAGCCTGAAGGCCCTGTCCTGTCATGCCCAATTTCCCTGGATGTCTGGCCAGGGGTGGCTGGTTCCCTCCCACCCCAGGGGCCCAGTTGCTCTAGGCTACCATGAGCTCACCATGAGCCTCTTCCCTTTAGGACCCTGTACCCCTGTTCAAGGTCTACGTAGAGGAGCTGGTTGAGCAGCTTCGACAGCAGGCGCTATTGGAGCCCGCAGTGGCACTGAAGAGAGCCAGCAGGAAGTGATCACAAGCCCTCCTGTTTCTGATCGTCAGGCATAGCTTTCCCCTGTGAGCGTTTTAGCAGTGTGGACAGAGTCTGGGGTGGCCATAAGGACCACCTGTGAGCAGTGTGAACCCTGTTCTTGTGTAGTAATCACAGAGCTTCTGGGGTAGGCTTTTTGGAGGTCTGAGGGGCCTTTCATCCCAAGTTCCCCAGAAGGCCTGGTTCCAAGCAGAGGGCCTGCCCAGATGGGGGCACATGCTGGGCAGCATTGGTTATGTCTGTAGGATTGAGTGAGTAAAGTCTGAGCTAAGCTGTTTGTGTGGGTGTGTTTCTTTGCTTGGAGTACTGGAGTTCCCTCACCCCTGCCCCAGAGACCCAGTGTGGGCTGTGTACACCTGTGGCTCCAGCTGCCATCTCCACTGAGCCATGGTGATCATGCTTTAGTTTGGTGCTTTCTTTACTCTGGGAGGAGGTCCCAAGTAGTTAAAGGGTCTGGGTGTAACAGGAGTGTACTTGTCACCTCTCATTGCCTATCCCTGCCTGTTACAGAATGTTCTTCAGAGCAATGGAAGGGACGCTGCGGTGGCTCTGGGGACTGAGGAGGGCCTCTTTGTGCTTTGCAGGAACTTGGAGGGGCTGCTGAGGGCAGCTTTTAAATTTTTTTCCTGTGGTACTGAGATCAATCCCTAGTACCACAGGAAACCATCCTGCCTCAGCCTCCTCAGTAGCTGGGATTATAGGTGGGCACGTCAGCACCAACTTCTGTGATCATACAGGAGGTGGGGAGTACACAGACTTAGGGACTGCCACCTCAGTGCCTCTCTTTCCTTAACAACCCCCACCCATCCTGCTGGTTGGGGTTATGGCTTGAGGTGGAAGCTGAATCAGGCACTGTGAGGTTTGGTGTGAACCTATCCTTCCCTGAAAGCCCTGAGCACTGAGGCACCTCAGTTCTCTCAGGGACCATGGGAGCATTTTCCCCAGGCTGTGTGTGGAAGAGGTGCTGGTGCATGTCCTCAGCACCATACCCTGGCCATAGCTGGTGCAAGAAGAGAGAGGGGACATCAGAGGCCACTGGCTGAGGAGCAGGGGGCTCCCCAGGGTGCTGTGGGAGCACCCATGCCTGGGCTTTGCTTACAGCACAGAATCCAAAGGGAACATGTAGCTGGCCCTGCAGGGACAGGAAGGTCTGGAAGGCTCCATAGCCCATAAAGGGGTTTGTGAGGGTTGGGGCCTGATTTGGGGTCAGCCCAAGGGATGTACCCCCAGAATCTCAGTCTGTCCCCAAGTGTCCTGGTGCTTCCTACATTATCAGTGTCACATAACACACCTCTTTTGTGCATAATTTAAAAAAATTTCCCAAAACACACAGTGCTTGGTCAGCTCTGGCCCTCCCACAAGGCTCTGCCCAGTTGTCTGAGCCATAGATGTGGCACTGAGGTCTTTGGCTCCAGCCAGATTTGTTGTATTCTGGGCCTGCCACCCAGTCCTGCTGTTTTCATGCCTGGGGCTGGGGCTGGGGCTGGGCCTAGGCCCTTGCTGGAGAAGTGCCAGGATGTCCCCAGCCTGCTGACTGGGCCCTGCTCACTTTCTGCCCTTTAACCACAACCAGGCCCCCAGGCGAGCAGGACGGTGGGGTTTCTTGTGTCAGTCCATGGGGCTTCTGGGGTCAGGCTGGCTTGGAGGGGCATGTGGTTGGAGCAGGGTAGGGGTCAGGTGGGGCTGCAGGCCTTGCAGACTGGGCAGGCAAGCATCATGTCCTGCCAGAGTTGACTGGGGGTTGTGGCTCTGGGCCCGAGAGCTTATCAGGTTATGGAGGCCAGCCACTGCAAGGCTGTGGCAGAAGGGGGCACACAGCCTCCAGGAGTCCGAGGCTGTTCCTACTCCCCTCAGGGAGGCCAGACCCAACTGAAGTAGGTGCTGGGTGTGACCTTGGCTTACATCCAAAGCAGCCTTTTTAAGGTGGGAGAGAGCGTCAGCTGTATCAGATTCTCACAGATGTCTGTGACTCAGAAAAGGATAGTGGTCCTCGGTGAAACTAACCTGGGTCTGGGCCTTTGGCCATGCTGCTGCCTTCTGAGCTTGTGGGCACATGGGGACTGCATCCCCTCAGACACTCTCACATACATACACACATGGACCTGCACAGGTAAGGAACGAGGAACAGAGCTGTGGCCCCCGATGACCCTGCCCATGCCTCCTGCCCTCCTCCACCCTCCCTTCTGTGCCCCTGGACTACACCTGCCAGCCTTCTTCCTGCTGAGGGCCTGCCATGGAGAGGTCTGTGCTGACCAAGATCAAACCTGCAGAAGGCAGAGCTGCCCTGTGCTGGCCCACACCCTGGCCCTGCATCAGCTGGACCTGACCAGCCCTCAGGGGCCAAGACACCCCTTTGTGTTCT